ATCTCTATCTGGGCGCCATCTATTTTGGCACACTGCATATTCCATTTCTTTGTCAGACAGCTAGGAACTCTGTCGGACCAGACGAGTGCATTGTTGAATGTTTCGCGAATCAATGATTTCATTCCTACTACCAATGGATCGGCTATACCGATTGGGTCATATGAGGAATTGACACAGCTTATAATCTCGCATTTTGTAAGATTTTCTTTTTGTGAGGAACTAGCATGGGCAGAGAAGTGGTCGTTCATGGTGCTATAACTAAGTCCAAATATTTTGATTTGACCGGCTGGTTGTCGATCATGAATTAGTTTTTTTTGGTTAACCAATTCTGAGTTCGAAACATACTCTCTCAAGTTTAAACCAATTAGTGAAAAATACTTTTAGAGAGAGGGTATTTTTCTAAAGCTTCCTTTTCGGTTTTAGCCAGTAAAAGGATGTTGTCACCATAGATGTTGTTTGCGATTTCTTTCGCAAATGGTGTCCTAAGAGACACTAAATAGGCTGAGATGGCCATGTTGAGAACACTAGGCGATGTCGTTACGCCGAAAGGTATTTTTTTGAATCGAAATTCTATGATGTTTGCCATGAAAGAAAACTGAGTAGGATATTTTAGCCACAAGAACCTACACAAATCTTTATGGGTTGTGTTGAGACGAAATTGCGTGAACGCTGTCTCAATGTTACAAAGTAAGATATATTTGCTTGTTCTAGATGCAGTATGTGACGGAATATTCTTTTTTGTGAATGACGTCGTTTAGAGAAAGTCCCCCTTTCTTTTTAGAAGAGACATCAAAAACAATTCTGAGTGGCTTCTGTTTCTCTTCAAGCCATACGCCAGCATGTGGCATATGATACCTGCATTTTCTTCTGCTTCATAAACCCTTTCGATTACATTATAGTCCTCGTAGTCCGTAAGTATTTTACCATACCACTCCATCTGGGCACCATTAGCACATAAGTTTCTTTGGAGAGCCGCCCTCTTGATTGTGACCCCATAGTTATCGCTGAGCTCAGCAATATTGTCCTTGAGTGGGAATGGTAGCGCTTCCCATCAAATATAATGGTTTTAGAGTAATCTTGGAAATACCTTTAAGTACCCTCGTCCGCATTACTTTCAATTGAGGTGATGCCCATATTCTCCAGCTCGAATAGTTTTTGAATGCTATCACTATATGAGCATTGACATACAGCAGTCATCGGACAGATCAGAGCGGTGGTATTATTGGTGTTATCAATTTGACCAGGACCATAGATCGTTGGACCAAATACGGTTTTGGCTACATCCAAGCCTGATGGGCTTCGTGTAGCGGTAGTGTTTGAAATGATGAGATCGTAATATCGGTAAGACCCACTAAGATATGAGGGATCTGGCGTTCTCCTCTAATCTTTGAATTTATGCATATTTCACTATTACCCAGGAATTCGCGGTCGGTCTCTGTGAGTTTAACTAAAGGGAGGCCACCCGTCACGATTGGCTTTGTTTGTATCGTCATATCTATCTCTACCATAAGCGGTTTTCATTTTGAGAGCTACTAGATAGCTAGTTATACGTGGTAGACCAAGTTTCTCTGCTATGGCCTCTTCAATGACTTTTGGGTACTAGTGTCGAAGAAGAATAGAGCTTTCTCGAAATCATGTGATTTATAATTCCAAACATTACCTTCAGCCGTCATGAGAACAATGTTCATTTTTGCTGTAGCTAGGTAATTATTTTTCATATTCGATGCTCTGATTTGAGGCTAGCGGTTGATTAGCGTTTGGGTGTTGACGTCTCATATCATTGCTTGAATTCATATTCCTGTTCGCGGGTTGTGCGCCTCTTACCGAT